AATCAAAACAAATGTTTATTTTTAAAAATATTTTTATTGATTTTAGAGAGGAAGGGAGAGGGAGAGGGAGAGAAACATCAATGAAGAGGGAGAATCACTGATCGGCTGCCTCCTGCACGGCCCCCCACTGGGCATGAGCCACAACCCAGGCCTGTGCCCTTGGCCAGAATAGAACCTGGGACTCTTCAGTCGGCAGGCCAACTCTCTATCCACTGAGCCAAACTGGCTAGGGCCAATAAAAGATATATTTAGAACAACAACAATAACAAAAACAACAACACAGGGAGACTCGAGGAAAAGGCCATGGGAAGATGGAGGGCAGCCCCAAGCCAAGGAACGGGAAGGACAGCCAGCAGCCGCAAGCCAGGAGGGAGGCAGGGAAGGATTCTCCCTCCGAAGGAGCCAGCGCTACTGACTCTTTGATTTCAGGCTTCTTGCCTCCAAACGGTGGGAGAATAAATTGTTTTTAGGGCCCACCCAGCTGGTGGTAATTTGTTACAACAGCCCTAGGAAGCTAATGAAGACAGAAATGGGTAGAAGACAGATATAGTGAGGCTGAAGGGCTGGAGGCAGAGGAGGTGAGGGAGCCTGCTCCCTGCTTACTCTCCCCCACCGCCTCCCGCTAATTTGGACTGCCATCCCATCCTGCCCACCAGTCAGGCCCCTCAGCCTTTTATCCACTTCAGGCCCTGATTTGGAGGACTCACTCCCCTTTCCACATCTCAGCACTTGCTTCCCTGCTGGGGCGACTTTAAAGAGCATTTTCTTGGGATGCTCAGAGAGGTGGTCTCGAGCTGTTGTGTATGCTTTCTCTCCCGCAGTAGTCAGTGTTTCCTCCCTCTCCTATCTCTCGCTGCCTTTGGAAGTGCTTTGTACACAGTGGGTGCTTAATGAATGTTATTTATTCTCTCTTCAGAGTCCCCTAACTATTGCCCTGCTCCTTCCCTTGAATGGATACCCAGACCTGTCAGAAGTGAGGATACTGTCTCCTGCTGCTCCTCTGTCCCCCTCTCACCCCTGGCCCCCCTGGAAACAAGTTCTTCAGAAGAACTTGGTAACATGCTCATCATTCCATGTGCCTTCTAGTCCTGCTCCCAGCCACTAACTTGTGTATAAACATGGATAAGTAACTGTACTTTCCTCTCCTTGGTTCCCTTTTGGGAAGGGTTGGAGTGGGTTCATTCATTCGTCCCTCCATTCATTCAAAACTTGTTTATTAAGACGGTATCACAAATCCTGCGAATTCAAGGGTAAACAAGAGACAGTTCATGCCTCCAAGGAGCTCAGGTTCTATCGAAGGAGGCAGAAGGAGAGGTTAAGGCCCCACTAGAATGGCACTGGGCAGGGGCTCCGAGGCTGGAGTGGCCAGACATCTGGGGACGGACGGAGAAAAGCATCCCAGGAGAGGTGACGAGGCTGCTTCTCTGGGGATCCTTCCAGGTTCCAGGTACAACAGGCTTTCCCTCTAGAGCAGGGGTGGGCCCGTGGGCCCTGTAAGGCCCCTGAAATCACTTGCTCTGGCTCTGCCAAGGCATTAGGGGTGAGTTAATTAAAAGTTTGACCAAACATAACAGGCTAATTTTTGAGCCGATAATTTTGTATGGCCCGTGAATGATCTTATAAATATCCAAATGGCCCTTGATAGAAAAAAAAAACAATCTTCTAAGAAACTGTGCACAAAGGAGCAGGCTCCGCTGGAAGGCGCCCCACTGGGAGGAGCTGCCGGGAGAACTGTGAGGGGTCGGTGCCAGCTCTCTGGGATTCCTTCCAGCTTTGGGATCCCAAGAGTCTGTGCCAAGGGGGGCCGGTGTCCCTTTTCCACATGAACTGGAGGAGAGCTGATTCCCACTTGAATACACTGGGAGCAGCAGCTCTGGGGTGGACCTTTCGCCCCAAAACCAGTTGAAACTCACACACAGACTCCCTGGGCCATCTGAGGTGACAAGCAAAAGGCCGGCAAAGGAAACCGCTCAGGTGTCACATGACTTTTATTCTTATCTCCCATCCATCATGGACAGTTAAGGATAGCACATGGGTCTGAGGATGTGTGTCTGCCCTCAGACACAGGGAGGAAGCCCCAGGTGGGGTGGCGCACAGTGGTTGACAGCAGACAGATAAGTCCGAGGGGTGCGACGACTAAAGGGAAAGCTGGGGGAGGGTGCGAGCTGAGGTCAGAGGAGAGCCGGGAATGGAAACCTGCCCATAGGACCCCCAGCTTCTCGCATAGAACCAGGCCCTGCTTTTCCTCAGGCGGCCAGCAGGGGGCAGCAAAGTGCTGGTGTGACAGCCCAGCCCCGCTGGAGAGCGGGCGGCCTCGGGGCTTGTTCCAGGTGGCCCGGGAGGGAGAGACGGAGCCTCTTGGAGAAAGGGTGTCTGTCCGATCCGGACTCCCCCGGGGAGGAAGCCCAGAGGATGGAAGAGCCAAGATTCCTGGGGCTTCCCAAGAAGGCAGGCACACACCTGGGAATCCGTGTGGAAGTCCCCAGTCTGCACTCTCCAAAGCGGACCTCTTGGTCTGTCTTCCCCTCGGCAGGGACCTCTGACCCCACATCCCAGATGGTCAGATTCCTTCTGCCTCTAGCTTTATGAAACCCAACCTACCCCTTCCTGGACCCAGTCCCAGAGGGGCCAGCAGGTCCCCTCCTCCTCTGACACCTGCCCATTTTAGGTTTCTCAGGTTTCTATTAATCCTGCATTCCTGCTCCCTGGCCCTTCCTCCTTCCAAGGCCCATCCGGCTGTTCCTGGGGCTCCTCGGGGGCTGGGATGGAGGTGGAACCCTCCGCTGCCGGCTCAGTGTGCCCTCCGGACCCAGAGGGGCAGACGGCAGCACACTCCGCGTGGCGATGGCCCTGAGCTGCCCCGTCCTCAGGGGCTTCCCCTCCCCCTGCTGCCCAGCTCTTAGAGATCAGCCTCCGATAAGCTTCTCAAGTCCCCGTTTCTGTATAAACTGTCCTGGGAAGAGAAGGGCTTGGAGAAAGGGATTCTGAGGAGCAAGACCAAGGCCTAGCCCAAGAGTGGCAGGGCCGGGGGGGGGGGGGGGGGCGCAATTCTGACCCCTCAGACAGAGGCAAGAGATTAGGAGAACAAAGGGCAACTGGATGAGGGTATCAGTGGAAACGGGTGTCCTGGTGCCTCCCCAGGCGCCACCCTGGTCATGGCCTTACTTCTTGCTGATAGCAACTGTGAATCACAGAGAGCGAGAATCACTCGCCTAATGCTACAAGCCCGGCCTCCCTGCTGTGTCCAGAGGTGAGACCCACCGAGCGGAAAGCTGGTAGCAGCCGTGGGAGGGGAGATGCCTGACCACCATGCAGCCTCATCAGCCCTCCCAGCCTGTCAGCTATGCCACCCTGGGCTCGGTTCCAAGCCCCCGGACCCCCTCTGCCGCGGGAGCGGGTGGAGTACCCCCTTTGTAGGACGACTGAAACGGATTCATTTAGGACCACACACAGTAGGCACCTCAGCCACGCTCACGGTGGCCTTTCTCTCACACACAAAGGCCACCGTCATTTCTTGGTTCCTTATTCCCTCCAATACCCAAGGTGCAATAAAACTTCTGCAATATTTATTGAAAGCTGGAAATAGGAAGGGTGGGGAGGGAGGGGTTGGGAGCACAGACAGCATCCGCAGCCATCCTCCCCACAGGCAAACGGGCCCCTTGGGCCAGGATAAGAGGTATCCAGAGGGAGAGGAATCCGCTCTGAACCTCCCTCACCCCACCCAGTAACTTTCCACTGGCCCCCGCCGGCTGCCTGCACGTGCTGGCTGCCTCGGCTGCACGCTTCCCGTCCCCGCTTCCCGTCCCCTCCCCAGCGGGGCCTGCAGGGGGCTGGGCGGCTGACGCATTCCCTGCCGCAGATCTCAGCCGCCCAGAGGCTGATAAGGAGCCCTGGCCGCCTCACGTGGGGCTGGCCCTGCTGGGCAGCTTCCAAATTAGGGAGATGAGGAGATAAGGAGTGGAGGGGGCTTAGGGACTCGGTGCTGAGTGGCCAGAGAAGCAAGGGAAAGGGACCTAGGCACAACCAACTGAGGCCTCAGGGGTCCTGGCGAGGGATAAACCGGCAAATGGCATGAGATGCGGGTGGGGTGAAGCGATGGGACGGGTGGCAGGGCCTGTGGAAGGGCTGGGGGTGGGTGTGTGGGGCAGGGTAGGATTCCTTCCCAGCGGGGCGGGCTCAGTCAGAATGACCCTTCCTCCCCCAGGACATGCAGTCCTCTAGGGCAGAGCCTCGCCCGGCCTGTGGGTGAGAGGAACAGAGCTCAGTCCTGCCAGCCCCGCAGGCCTCCCGGGGGGGGGGGGGTGCAGGCCAGGGTGACCCGGCAGGACTGCAGACCCCAGACCTCCCAGGGGCTGCCCTGCGCCCACCTCCCGCCCCCACTGCTCTGTCACGACCCAGGAGGTGGACGGCGCTGCCCTCCTACGCCTCTCTGGGTGCTCTTGGCCCCAGGCTCCAGTCCCTAGAACAAGCCGTTCGTCTCAGAGCGGAGAGAAGATGGGCGCGGCCTGGGGCAGCCATGCCGCCTCCCCGCCTGCCCTCCGCACCCTGCAGAGCACCCTCACCTCAACTCCCAGCCGCGCCCAACCCCCTTCCTTACAAAGCCTGACCTGGAGAGAGAGAGAGAGAGAGAGAGAGAGAGAGAGAGAGAGAGAGAGAGAGAGAGAGAGAGGAGGTGTCCTGGACACAGGACCGTATGCTGCCCGCCCCCCTCCGTCACACCACTGTGGCAGCCTTGGGGGAATCGCGGTGGGCGCCGGCCTCAGCCAGGCTCCCGGGCCTCTCCCTCTGAGGTCCTGCCGCTCTCCTCTCTCTCGTCCCTTGGGTCCTCCAACCCAGAGGAGCCTCCAGCCTGGACTGTCTCAGTCTGGGAGGTGTAACGGGGGAGAGGACGGCACAGGGCCGGGGTGACCTTGGTTCCGTGGGCCCCTCGGGGCATGGATACGAGCTGCAGAGGGTGAGGATGAGGTGGGCGGAGGGAGGGAGCAGGCTGGCCCCGGCTGGGCTGGCGGCTAGTTTATATCTGGGCTTACAGGGGCGCAGGGCGGCGGAGGGCAGCGCGGGGCATTCTCGGGGGGAGGGTGGTGGGAGGACTCCTCACTCCCGGCTGGTGCCAAAAATCTGCAGGAAGAAGGTGAAGATGTAGATGATGTCCAGGTAGATGTTGAGGGCTCCGAAAACATACTCCTCGGGGCTCAGCGTGTGGCGTCGGTTACCCATCAGCAGCTGAGTGTCAAACGCCAGGAACTGAGGGGAGGGGGAGAGAGAGAAGGAGTCAGAAGGCTCTGTCACTGTGACGCTGACCCGAGGGGCCCAGTGTCCCCACCCAGGCCCACCCCTGACTGTGTTACTATCGCTTGCTGCCTGGCTGCTCGGCGACCTTCCAGCCCAGCCTCTGGAACTTTCCCAGAACCGGGAACTTTCCCAACACCTCTGTCCCTAACTTAACACCTATTCACGGAGCACCTACTGCGCGCCAGGCACAGGGGCGCAGTGAAGAACAGAACAGACAAGACCCCTTACCGCACAGCGCTTCGAGTCTAGAGGGAAGTGGGTGTGAGTGTGAGTGCAAGCAAAGCGCCGGGTGCGGATCACAGGAACCTGGCCCGTGTGGGGGTGGCCGGGCGCCAGGAAGGCTTCCTGGAGGAGGGGGCCTTGAGGGGCCTTCAAGCTGAGTCCCCATCTTCTTGCCATTCCTTCCCCCCCACCAGGGCCCTGCTCTTAGAAGACAAATGAACGCTTCAAGTACTAGTGAGCAGGCAATGGGTATTTATTAGGGTGTTCCCCAGACATCAGCCTGCTTGGTCCTAAGAGTAGGGGTTCTGTGACTCCCAGAGAAAAACCACAGCCCAGAGACGCTAGGTACGTGCCTAAGGTTGCACAATTAGCAAATGGCAAAGCCGGGACTTGAACCTGAGCAGACCTCCTCCACAGCCCCCGTGCTTCGCCATTCAGCTCTGCTGCTGCGGACAGCCCGCGGGTGTGTGTGTGTGTGTGTGTGTGTGTGTGTGTGTGCCTCCTGCCGGGAGACAGGCTCTCCCCGGGCGCCCTTTTGGCCTCCAGGACTACGAATCGTTATTCCCCGAGAGATGGCTCCTCTGGGCCACCCTGCTGCTCCCCACCAGGCCTCCACTGCCCACCGCGACTCCTGCAGGCAGCTTTTCTCATGGGGTTCCTGCGGGCAGGGCAGAGCCCCGCGAGAAGGAGCCTATGACATCTGACAGGCATGCTGTACTTTTCTGGGAGAAAGAAGCCAAAAAGTTCCACCCGTGCCTCGAAGGTTATGAGCCACTGATCCACAAGGGATTGGAATTCTTCAGATCGATTCACATTCCTGCTAACTGAGCTGTGCCCGGCTCTCCCGTCACCTGGGCACGGCCCCATACTCCTTGGGCACTCTGGAACATGCGTTCCACGGCACCGATGCCGGGGCGAGGGCGGGGGCCAGCGCCGTGCTGAGAGCTGCAGCCGATGGGGGGCCCAACGGTCGCCTCTGGGGGCTCCTGGCTTAGTGGGGAGTCTGAGAGGATACAATAAAAATCAGTAAATGGCCCAGGCCGGTGTGGCTCAGTGGACAGAGCATCAGCCTGCGGAGTAAAGGGTCCCAGGTTCGATTCTCGTCAAGGGCATGTACCTTGGTTGCGAGCACATCCCCAGTAGGGGGTGTGCTGGAGGCAGCTGATGGATGATTCTCTCTCATCGATGTTTCTAACTCTCTATCCCCCTCTCTTCCTCTCCGTGAAAAATCAATAAAAAAATATTTTTAAGAAACAACGGTAAATGCCATAATTAGGGCTGACTGGGTAGGAGGAAGGTGTCCTGGGAGAGGTGACACTTCGCCGGGGCTTTGAAGCATGAGTAGGAGTTTGCTAGACGGAGAAGGCAGGGTATGATGGGTGAGGAGATGCAGCATGGGGAGAGCAGGGTGGAAGGAGACGGAGGGAGGGGCCAGCTAACACTTTACCCTGGAAACTGGGCCCAGCTCCATTCCCTTCGCCCCAGACACCGACTCCCTGACTCGAGGCCCCAGGCTCCTTGGAGTTGCTTTAGGTGCAGCCCGTGTGGACCCCACCTCCCTGACCATGGCCCCGGGGCACAGGGGGCGGAGGCCCTTCAGGGAGCAAGTCCAGCACGTGGGCCCCGAGGAGGGCCACCCTGGAAGGCGAGGAGTGGGGCCGGTGACGAATGCAGGCTTCAAAGTCAGACTGACTGGATTCTAGTCTTAGTTCCGCCACCCGCTAGCAGTGGGCCCGGGCAAGGCACTGCTCTCAGAGACAGGTGAGCGCAGAACACCTTTCCCGAGGTGGTTGTGACTGGGAGATAATGAGTGCAAAGCGCCTGGCGCGGCGCCTGAGACGTGGTGAGCGCCTAATGAATGGGAGCTGCTGGTGTGGTTTTATTGTTATTATCTGCCGGAGAGGTGCCCTCTTGAGAACATGTGTTCGCCGCTGCTGAGCCTCCTGCGTCTCCCGCGGCTCATTGAGGAGGCAGATATGTTCCTAGGAAAGCTGTGTGGCCTCCACAGAAGAAGAACGGGGAGCCATGCCCTGGGCCGAGAAGGCCCTGTTCACGCAGGCCGGCCTTTCTGGGCTCCGCGGCACTGAGGAAAGGGCACACGCGAGCCCAGGGCTGGAGCTGGAACACCTGGGTCTGAGTGCCGGGCCGTCCCTCAGTAGCCATCACCCGCGTGACCTCAGCACCCTCATCTACAAAACGGGAGGGTAGCAATGGCCCCATCTCCGTGTGGTTTGGAGGGTACATAAATGACAATGTAGGCAGCACCAGCTATTACTGTTCTTTAGGATCATCTCGCCCCATTCCACGCTCCTGAGTTTGATTTGGGTCCCCCCCCCCCCCAAACACTTTCCTTCAGCAGAGAGAACAAGGAGAGGGGCCGATCCAGTGCCACACGCTGCTAAGCAGTCACGCCTGCCAGCAGAAGTTAATAAACTGCTGATCTGACGTATCAATCAGTAGCTCGCTTGGTTGATTGCCCGGAGCCTGGTCACCCCTGGGTGAGCTAATGAAAATCAATCTCTCAGCTCCGAAGGCTGGGACCTGACCGGGTTTGGCGGAGGCTCCTCCAAGGAGCACTCACCCAGGAGGCCCCTGAGAGCCGCCAGCTGGCTCTTCTCTCGGAGAAAAGAGGAATGAAGTGATTTCTGCCCCTGCCACTGGCCGGTGGCCACGGATGCTTATCTGTGTTGGGATAGCCTGCCCCACATTCCACCCCACGGCCTGGCATCCCCCATCTCGGCAACCTCACGCCTGCGAAGCAACTGAAGCAATATTATGGAGCATCTACTATGTTTCAGGGAACTCGCCTTCAGAGAACTAGCAATCGGATGAGAGCAAAAGACATCACCAGAGATTGTTAGCAAGCATTCATTATAGGGGAAAATTACCCACCAATAATGCCCCTGGGTGACAGTAAGCATTGCTAACTAACATCTTGGTTGAGAGCCAGGTATCTTGGTTACAGTTAACATCTCAGCTGGCAGCCAAGATCTGAGCCGAGAGCTAAACCACGGGTCAACCACAGAGAGGGCAGCAGGCACTTGAGTTGGTAGCCAGCTGAAGACAAGAGCAAGTGGGATACGGGCAAGAGGCAGGGGAATTAGGCTGATGTCTGAAGAGTCCTTTTACACACTATTCTTTCATCTCATCTCACGCACCCAATTTGCCTGAGGAGGTGCGTGCTACTGTCACTATTTTACATGTGAGGGAAGGCGTCTCAGGGCAGGTGGCTGGCTTGCTGGCAGTCATTTATCCAGGGCCGCAGCCAGGTGACCTGTCTCATTCTGATGGAGATGGGGTGGAGGGAGGGAGGGGCGTGCACAGAGGCAGAGGATCCAAAGCAAACTTTCCAGGTTCACCCAGCTGGCCAGCGCTGGGCCTGGCCAGGGCCCCTGGCTACGCACTTGGGCTGACCCTGCTGTGACCAGGGCTTGGGCTTAGATCCATTGTTCTCCCAGGCGTGAGGCAGCGAGGGAGCAGGCCAGGGACAGGCCAGCTCAGAGGCACCAGCAAACAGGCCCTGAATACAAAACGCTGAGGCTGCAATGCGTTGAATCAGCATAAAAAACAACACACGGACCGTGTCCATCCCACAGAAAGGCCAGCAGGTGAGCACACAGCGGCAGGCCGAGGCTGTCCCCGTGGCATGGGTGCCCACCGCGGAACGCCGAGAACACCCGGTGCCATCAGTGAGGGCCGGGTGAGGAGCTGTGGGCGGCAGTTCCGGGACAGAGACAGCTCAGGGCCCGGAGCGCTGCAGGCTTCCTGGGGGGTGCAGAGAGCTGGGCCCAGCTGGCCCTGCCACCACCTTCGGGCTTGGGAGTGAGGCTGGGCTCTGGGGATTCTTCGGGAAGAAACAACGAGCCTCAAGCCTGCACCCTCCGTTGAGATGGGGGTCGGGGTGAGGGAGGGGAGGCGCCGAGTCCACGAGCTGCCTGGGGCCAGTGTTACATACTTCTCTCGTCTTCACTGACCTCGGTGTCAAAAACGTCGATACGGACAACTGCACGTAACCTGGGGCCTGGCATGCATCTCCAGAGGGGTCACCGCGGGGGCAGGGTCTGGCAGGCACGTGGGCCAGGAAGCCCGGCCCAGGATACAAGGGGAGCAGCGTGCAAAGTATATGTGAGAGAGCCGAGGGCGGTCTTAGGAGGAAGGGCAGGAGTGTGACGCAGTGTGCAAGCACATGGGCCGGGAAGTCACACAGGCCTGGGTTCAAATCTTGCCTCTGACCTTAGGCAACTGACCATTACTAACAGGTAATACTTATGGATCACCGATGATGTGCGGGGCACGCTCCAAGTGCTTTGCACATATTAGTTCATTTTAAAGTTACAACGACCTATGGAGTGGGGACTATTGCTATCTGCATTTTATAGATTTAAAAAAACGAAGCACAGAGACCTGACAGCTAAAATGTGGCAGAGAATGGATCTGAGCCCAAGCACCCTGGCTCCCAAATCCAGGGCTCCGGGTGGCAAGGTTAACATTTACAGTAAGGGTACACGCTACCACAGGAGACAGGAACATGCACAGGTTCTCTGTGCATGTTATCATGTGTTCTCTGTGCATGTTATTGTGTGTAATCATTACCCAGTCCTGTGAGAGAGTTCATATTAGCCCCATCTTAAAGATGAGGCACCTGAGGCAGTAACTTGCCCACGGTCACAGTGGTAAGAGGAGGAGCCAGGCCGTGGACGTGGTTTGGGTGGGAGAGCTGCCTCCCACACTGCAGGCTCCGCTGCCCCTTCTGCCAGGGCCTCTCCTGGCTCTGCGCTGCAGAGTGCCCTGCCTGTGAGCGCAGTGACTCCTCGCCTCCCCGCCCCTGCCCCTGCCCCTGCCCTGCTCCCCTGCTCCCCACGGGGCCTCTGAATCACCATCTCCCTCCGTCCTCCACCCCTGGGCTGGAGAGGGGGCTCTGGGTCTGGTTCCTGAGAGGTGAGGCTCTAGGAAGTGAACTGAGGTGAGGCCGGGGAGGGGGCACCTTTGAGCGGAACAATTACTGGTCAATCCCGCCTCCCCGCTGCCCTGGAGGAATCTGCTCCACTTCCCGGCATTAAAGGGGAATGTCCCAGCAATCGGACTCCAGGCATCTGGTGCTGGCCCGCACGTTCTCCCTGCAACCCCCACCCCCCCCCCCCCCCCCTGCCCCTGACCCCTCCTGACCCGGCCTCCCCCAGCCTCTGGCCTGTCCGCACAGCCTCTCACTCATCTTCCTTAGAGCAGGGAGATGGGGATGTTTCCCAGGGCCCCCGCCTGGCCAGGCTGGGCAGGCAGAGAGAGTTCTCATCACATTAGGCCATCACCTAATTTCTAAAACCCTCTGCCGAGCTTCTTCCGTGGGCCTGCGGGACAGCTCCTGATCTAGGTGGCTGGGACCCTCCCCGAAGAAGGACGACCTGAGGTAGAGCAACTGCCCAAGGCCCTGTGGGCAGGGAGGCATAATTAATGAGCTCCGAGGTGCCTCACTGCAAACCTGTTGGCCAGGCCCTCGGCCCCACCCGGCCTCTCTTCCCAGCCCAGCCCTCCTGCCGGCCTCAGCCCCTCCACCGTGCCCAGCCCAGCCCTCCAGCTGTCCTGCCTGGTTCTCCAGGAGCTTCTACAGAAAGCACCTGAGAGGGCACTAGAGGGGAGAGGAGGATGGGGCCACCCTGCGGTTAGTACCTTTCGGCTGACTCACCCACTTCCACGGCATCAGGGTCTGGCGCCCAATGGCGGTGGGTGGGGTGTGGCAGAAAACCCAAGGCCTCTTGAGAATGCACCAGAGCTGATGGGTGAGGCCTAGGAGGGGCTGCCTCTCAAGCTGGGCCACAACCCTAAACACCTGGGCTCCCCCCCACCCCCCTCCCAGCCCAGCCCAGCCGTGGCCGGCCCTCAGAAATGGGGAGGGGCTGTGATCTCTGGGAGAGAAAACCATTTGCTTCTCCCAACTTTGCCAAGGCTCAGGCTGGTGGGAGGGGGCTGGTGCTCACAGGAGTCTGGACCTCCTCTGACACTTGTCTCCACCCCTCCCTCAGCCTCTCCCTGGGGACATTTTTTCTAGCTGCAGAGCAGGGAGGGCCCCTCATGGTGCTGAGGATGCCCCAGGCTAGGCTAGGGGATGCCAGGCTGGGCCGCTGGAGAGAGAAGGGGTGCTGGGCGCTGGTTCTGGGGTGACCGCAGACTCCACAGGACAGAACTGAGGCTGGACAGAGGTCAGATGGAGGCCAAGGGCCTCCTGAGTTGGGAGTTAATGGGAAGGCTGGGTGATAGATCCTCCCTTCCTCCAGTTGATGGACAGACATAAACCCCACCTGCAGCTAGACATTCCTGAGCTCTGAACCACCAGTCAGCACCTGCCAAAGACCCTAAGCCCCGATTCCTAAGTCCCTAGGTCCCTAATCATAGGCCTTACATGAAACCACCAATCAGCATGTGCTGAGCCCTAAGCCCCGTCCCCTATCCTCCCCTTAAAAGTACATGGACCCCGGCCCTCGCCCTCGCTCTCTTCCTCTCTCTCTCTGGAAGCAGCTGGCTTCCAGTGGTACTCTTCTCTTCCATAAAACCTATGTCCTGGCATCCTGGTCTCCAGCCCTCACTATTTCTCTTTCACCAGGGACCTTAGTTCTTGTGGGCCTGGGCCTCTGAGGGCCTCTGTCCACCTGAAACTGAGGCGAGGGAGGGAACGAATCCAGCGAGTGTCTCTCCCCTCTCCCAGCCCCTCCCTGCCTCACCCCTCCTTTACCCCATGGAAATCCAGGGGACCTGCTGTATGTCTTCCTTCCTTTGACCCAACAACTGCGGGCAGGGCGGGAGCAGGGGGCCATGCACCAGGTTCCTATCCATGTTTACACAGCCCGAAGGATGAGCCCGGCCAGGGCCTTTGGTGTGTTGTCTCCCAGGGAGACATTAACGGGTAATTAATTAGCCCTGCGGTGCCTCCTCTGCTGTGACTCACTGTCAGCTGTGCAGCCTCTTCCTTTGAGGATGGCACCCCGCCATGCCTCTCCGGCGCCCCTTCATTCTGCTGTGCGCCAGACCCTGTTCTAAGCCCTGGGGAGGCAGCGCACACAAGCCAGACACAAGGCCCTGCCATGGAAGAACTTACATTCTGCCGGAGGGAGACACATGAGAAACAAACAAATCACAAAGATACGGAGTCTGTCAGAGGATGAGAAGGGCTATGGAGAGAAATAAAGCAGGGCAAGGAGTAGGGAGCAGTGTGTGTGTGTGTGTGGGGGGGAGGCAGGGGAGGAGGGGGAGGAGAGAACCTGTTTCTAGGCTGATGGGAATAATCCAGAAAGGGCGATACTACTGATGGGGAGGGGCTGGGGGGGTCAGTTACTGGAGAGACCTCTCAGCCCCCCCAACTCCAAGACAATAGGAGATGTCCCCTCCCCCCCCTCCCCTCTACCTCCCCTTCCTCCTCCGCCCCTCCACCACCCCCCCTCCTCCTTGGAGTTGTCTTCTTTGAGGGGGACCACGGGGCCTTGGAAATGGCACCAGCCTGGGCACAGGACACCGGGGTCCTGTCCTAAACCCGCCTATCCCTGGCACTGGGACTCGGTGCCAGCCCTTTAACACTCGGGCCCCAGGTGTGAAATCAGGCCTTCTAACATCAGCGATGCCCCTCTGCCCGGTGGAGGTAAAAACCCAATGAGGTAACAGGTGTGAAAGTGCTTTGTTGAAAGGTAAAGGGTGGAACAGATGGTTGGGTTGTTCTGATTATTCTAATAACACAAGGGATTAGTAAAAAAATTTAACGGATTAATGTTCATCCAACTCTACTTGTACCGACAGCCTCCCCACGAAGCTGACACACTCGTGACCTGATCCTCTGGAAGCCAAGTGAACTCCCCTGCCCTCTACCCATCATGCTCCGCCCCGCCCGCCCTCCCCCCTGCACTGACCCTCTTCCATTTGTCTCTGGCAAACCCTGGCTCGCCTCTGAGGCCCCAGCAGCTCCGTCCTCCCAGCGTGACCCTCCCTCTTTCTTTCCTCCTGGCAGGTCCCCGCCCCTTCCTCCGGGTCTGAACTTGTCTTCAGCGGGTACTGCCTGGAAGACAGAGGGCTGGTCCGGAAGCCGAGGGAAGTTAAGTGTTGTAGGGTGACACCATCCTGGTTTGCCCAAGATTTACGAGGCCCCCCAAGAAGTGGGGATGTCAGTGCTTACACTGGGACAGTTCTGGGAAAGCTGGTCACCCTCGTCTTGACCGAAGCCACCCTTTGCTGCTGCGCCATCACCTGCCAGGAAACCTGGGACCCCGCACTTAACTCCTTTAGGGTTCCGTTTTCTCATCTGCAGAAGGAGGCACCTGGAGTTTCACTAGATCCTTTTTTAGTTCCTTCCGGCGCTCCAGTTTTGAGCCTGGAGTCCTTTACTCATCGCACAGATATTCACTGAGTGCTGCCATATGCCACACACCCTGCTCTTCCCGTTAACTGTGGCCTCCTGGGCACACAGCACATTACACATAGTAGGTGCTCAATAAAGACCTGTGGGGATGAATGAACCAACGGACCACACCCCCATGCCTGCTTTGCCAATCTGTCCAAAACCTCTGCTCACGTATCTGACCCCCTCACTCCCCCGTTTCTGCTTGCCCGCTCTATCACCCTCAAGCCTCTGGGACCAGTGCCTACGCCCGGAACGCTGGCCACACTGAGTTGAGCGGACACTCCAGTGAGGGCGAGGACAGTCCGGTGACTGCTCCCGCTGCCAGGGGAAGTTTACCTTGGGCACCGCCACCCAGGAGATGTCACCAACATGAGTTTATCTCCGTGGCGGACCCTGGGGCAGTCACCGCCCCACCTGCCACCCCTTAGAGCTCCTCTGAGCAAAGGGTCAGCACCCAGGCTTGCTGCAGGTGAATGTCTGCCCCGGGTCACCTTCTGTCCCCTGGGCACCTGCCTCCAGCCACCCACTCTGCAGCCAGGCCACCCAGTTCCGGGTCTGGCCTTCCCACTTCCTTGAGTGCTGGATGACCTTGGACAAGCTATTATCGTCTCTGAGCCTCGGCTCCTTACCTGAGTTTTGTTAACAACAGAACTTATTTTGCAGAGTTACGGCGAGGAGGGCGTGTACCCAGGGAGCGTCCAGGGGAGAGGGGAGCCAGTGCTCACTACACGTGAGCTGTGATTGTGGTCACCCGCGCCCCCTCGCTGGGTGGGAAAAGTCCAGAATAAGCTGAGCCCGAGTGCCCCTCTCACTGGGCGCTCAGAACCTCCTGTGCCCCGATAGATTCCCCGAGGAGAGTGGCCACTAACTGAGTCCAAGGAGCCAGGACCTTCACCTCCCACCCCATCAGCAGCCCTGGTTCTCCCTGACGCCAGGGGCGTCTTCCCAGCTCTTCCAAAGCTTCCATCCTGCTGCTCCCACCTTCCTCCTGCTCTGCCCGGACGGGCTGGTCTGAGACCAGAGGGAATTGCTTGACCTCAGCACTGAGCCCTGCTCGGCCCCAGGCACGTCCCGCGGCTCAGGGCGGACCGTGAGAAAGGCAGAGAAGACGGAGGCCTGGGGAGATGATCCGGGGTGGGGCCCCGGGGAGCCACACTTACCAATGTAAACACGCCTGCTCCCAGCACGGCGTACACTGCGTGGAGCCAGGGCACCTACGGGGCAGACAAACAGCGGGCTCAGGGATGGCAGATGGGGCGGAGGGGCAGGGAGGAGGGCTCAGTCCAGAGCATGGGGGACGTGCGTGGAACAGACCTTCCTAGGGGGACCCTCCCTCACTGCCCCCAACCCTCCCCAGATGTTCCTAAGAAATGCCAGGTCCTTAACAGGGATCCCCAGTTCTCTCTGTGTGTCCAGGGTGGGCAGGGGAACCCCAGGCTAACAGTGACCCTGGAGGGCCCAGCAGGGAGCGCCCCACCTGACCTGCACCTGTTCCCTCCGTACTACCCCAGGCTCTGGCAGCACCCAGCACCCAGGGACTTCCCGTTGGCCTGTCATTCTCCCAGCCTGCGCGCCTCCTCCCTCCCTGCCCTGCACAGTCTGTCTGTGTCTGCGGGGAGTTCGCAGGTTCTGTCTGTCTGGTGAGGGGCTGGGTGGGAGGGGACAAAGACTTGAACTCAAGGGTGAGGTGGGGTCCATGTGGGATTCCCGCCGGCAGTGCGGGACCTGCGGAGGCAGGTACCACAGCCCTTCCCGCTCAGCCCTGTGGAAACCCTGTGCGAGGCACCGCATCCCAGAAGATTCCAGGAAACACAGGCATCCCAGCTGCCTGACAGGGTCAATAAAGGGTTCTTTGAAGCTTGGGGCCCCACCCTGTACCCCCATCCTAGATACACAGAGGGCCCCAGGCCAGCTCTGGCCCCTCCCTTCGTCAACCGTCAACCGGATCCTGGGAAGAGCCAAGGAGTGCTAGAGCCGCTCCAGCTGTTCTAGGGGCAAAGCACTGGGGGGCTGGGGGAATGGGGGTGAGGAATGCTGCTCCCAGCCTGGCAGAATAGGGGTGGGGCTGACCGAGTACCAAGAGGAGGAGGGGTGGGTGTAAGACTGAGGGGCCCCCCTCCACAGGGTCCAATATTTCAGCTTCTTCTCTTGGGTTCCCAGGATCAGAACCTCAAAATGGGTCACTGAGGCCTGGGAAGTCCTAGTTGGGTATCCCAGAGCAGGCAGGGAGTTTGGCTGAGATTTGGCTGCCCCATGGATGTTCCAAGGGGGTGAGGACAGCTGCGTGTCGGACCCTCGCCTGCCTGGCTGCCCCGATCTGTCCCTCCGCACTTGGCTGATCCCCAAGAGTCCCGAAAGGCTCTTCCCCGGGACCCCTCGGGGTCTGGTGGCCCCCCGGAGCTCAGGAGCACCCTTCCCTGCCACGGGTTTGAATGCTCTGGGCACCCTCCCCTCCAGCCGCCCCTCCCCCTAGAAGGGCGGATGGGGAAGGTGAAGCCGGATGTGGCTCATGGTGCCGGCAGGCGCCCAGGCCTGCTGAGAAAGGCCTCCTTGTTGGTTTGCTTACGCTGCCAACAGGCCCCGGGCAGGTGCCAGGAGGGGCCGGTGAGCCTCTGGCTCTGGGCCTTCCGGGGAGGGTGTGGGAGGAAATGGCACCCCCCGGCCGGCAGGCTCCCTCCCTCCCTCCCTCCCTCCCCGAGAGGCCCGCTGAGCCCCCAGACCAGGCATCTTCAAACTATGGCCCGCGGGCCACATGCGGCCCGCAGAGGAGTCTGATCCGGCCCGCCAGGTTTTTTGGGCAGTGAGCGCAGCCGAGGTGTTACAGTAGGAATTAGTAGTTCATATAGTCCGGCCCTCCAGCTCTCTGAGGGACCGTGATCTGGCCCCCACTTTAAAAAGTTTGAGGACCCCTGCCCCAGACTCACGTATTGGAAGGGCAGGAGGATGGCCAGGATGAGCCCACTGAAGAAGAGCGTCATGAGCAGCACGAAGAGCACGCCCTGGCAGGAGGTGAAGTCAAACTGCAAGGATGGGAGTGGTCAGCGGCTGGCGGGGGCCTGTCCGGCTCCTGCGGACCAGCATCCCTTCCCCATCCCCGCTCCCGCTCCCGCTCCCAGTGGCCTCCCCGGGCCCCTCTCGTCCCCTTTGTCTATCCCTGGAGGCCCCGCCCCGCCTGCCTCCCGCGCCCCAGGGCTGACCTTGGTCTGGAAGCTGAAGATGGTGACGGAGAGGCAGACGAGGGCCGTGATGCTCAGGCACAGCAGCACCGAGGTGGTGTTGTAGTAGCTGAGGGCACAGGCGGGGGTCAGCCAGCTCCCACGGCCTTCCGCCCAGGCCCAGGCTCCTCTGCAGCCCTGACCCCGAGAGCTCTCGCCCCTACCCTCTCTCCTCTCCAAGGGTTTTCCTTCTCCCTGCTTCCTGCTCCCTTCTCTCCGGCCCCCGAGCTCCCAACCGTGTTGGAAGGATCTCGGAGAGGTGGGAATGGGGTGGGGAGGGGGGTTTGTGCTATTGCCTGTAGGTGGGAACTTCCATAACCGCACGTTCGGGGTCTTTTAAGCTGCAGCCTGACGGGTCACCTTGGTCTCCTCCATCCCCACCCCTCCCCACGGGCCTACAGGTCCCAGGGGCACCATCAGGTGGAGCGCACAGGGAGAGGGCTCCAGGCCAGCGTTTCCTGCCTGTGCTCTGCGCCCTCCCCATGCTCCCAAGAGGATGGAGTCGGGAGCATTTCCACCCGCCGGGTGGCGAGTCCCAGGCTGTAAGCCTGGCCTAGGGCCCCTATGGCTCCCTGCCCCCTGTCCCCTTTACCTGGACAGCATCCCAGTGAGGTAGGCCATGGACAGGGTCTGAAAGGAAAAGCAGAAATTCCACGACTCAGACTTTGGGGCCAGACACCTTCCAGGTCCAGCCTGGGTGTCCATCCCTCAACTCTGAGTCGACCTCACTCACACGGTTTACCTCGAGGAGTCGGGCCCGGCGATGCAGCTTCCCAACAGGCCTCGTGCCAGCTGCCTTTCCTTCAGTGGCAGCCCTGCTCTGCCCCCTTCCTGAGCCCTCCCACCCCTCATTCTCCGGAGCTCCTGGACGGCCCATGCAAACCTCTTACACACAAAACCGCAAAGAAGAGAGACAGCGGATGGAGGGGGGGAAGGAGAGACTAAGTCCGTTTGGAAAGAGGGTGGGGTGTCTTTGGGCCTGTCCAGTGGGGCTCAGTGGTTGAGCGCTGACCTATGCACCAGGAGGTCACGGTTCAGTTCCCAGTCAGGGCACAGGCCTGGGTTGCAGGCTCGATCCCCAGTGTGGGGCATGCAGGAGGCAGCCAGTCAATGATTCTCTCTTATCATTGATGTTTCAAACTTTTTCTCCCTCTCCCTTCCTCTCTGAAACAAATAAAAATATATTTTAAAGATAAGAAGTGGGGTGAAAATACCCCTCTCCCCCAGCGGCCTCACATTAGACATCCCCAATCTAGACATCCTGGCCTTGGAGCCCACCTCCCTCCATCCCCACTCAGCACCTGCCCTCAGCCCCCCGGATCACTTACAAAGACGGTCAGAAGAATCATGTTCCAGGGGAAATATCTCCTGTAAGGCAAGCCACTGGATTCAGAAGAATGGGGTGGGGTGGGGAGGGGGTGCCAGCAGCTGCAGGCTGGGTCACCCCTGCAGGGACAGGGGTCTCTGCCCACCCCCATCTCCACTCTTTGGAGGCTCTTTCTTTAGCCACATTTCCATGTGCCATCTGTCTGTCCTCCCTCCGCCCACCTCAGAGGTAGTAAGTAAAGGAAGGGGGTGCAGCCCTACATGAAGGAGCCCAGAGAGGGGTGAGGCCTTCTGAGGGGGGCACAGCACACTGGTGGCAGGCAGGCCTGGGGTCAGAATGCCCAAGTCCTGCTCACGTTTCCACAAGTTGCTGCTCTTCAAGCCATCATCATACCTAGGTCCAGAACAGCAGGCCAGGGTCATGTAGGTCGCAAAGAACACAACGCTGTGAGAGACAGATGAAGGGGGAGTGAGCAGCCCACCCCCACCCCCGTTCCCTGCCTCCCTCCCCTCCCCAGGCCTCTCCATTCAGTCCCTTGGACTCCACAGTCATCCCACTCTATACCCCCACAAGGCACCAGGCAGGGTGACGGGGACTGGGGTAAGCTACAGTCATCCTAGCACTTAGAATGGACAGGAAGGTGGTTCAGTTCTAAAAGAGACAGGGGATGGAAAGAGCCTGCCTCTGTACATACTTGGGAGCATGGGACAGCTGATCCCCACCCAATGTGGTCTCCCTGGACATCAGCTTATTACTTCAGAGGGAAAGCTCATATGTACTGTGTTCTATGTGCCAGGCAGAGTGCCGTGTGCTTTATGAAAATGAAGTAATCTCCTGTCTTCTCTGTGAAGCATGCTTTTTTTAAGTTAATCTTCAGGCAAGGATTTTTCCCATTGATTTTCAGAGAGAGGGGAGGAAAGGGTAAGGGGAAAGGGAAAGGGAGGAGAGAGGGAGAGAAAAAAACATTGATGTGAGAGACACATCGACTGGTTGCCTCTGGCACATGCCCAGACTGGGCCGGGCATTGAACCTGCAACCCAAGTACGTGCCCTTGACTGATTTAAAACCTCGACTCTTCGGTGCATGGGCTGATGCTCTGACCACTGAGCCATGCGGGCCAGGGCAGCATGCTTTTCATCGAACAGCTGAGGCACAGTGAGGTCAAGTGACTTGTCCAAGGTCATGCAGCTACCACCTGGCAAAGGCAGGATTAGAACCCAGAATCTCTGGCTCTAGAGGCCCAGCTCCATGCTGCCTCCTTCAGGCCCTTCCAGCCCATAATGACCTTGGGAGATACTTTATTGTTGGTCTACCTACCAGCAGGGGCAGGGCCCTTGTCTGTCCTGCCAGTGCCTGGCACAGGCAGGAGGCACCTGGGGCATGGGCTAAGCCCAGGGGGAGACTGGCGGGGAGCTCAGGCACAACCAGACAGGGACTGGGGATTGGGATTTCCTGGAGAGCAGCGGACGTGGAGGCCAGTCCAGGAGGTGGGAGAAGAGGTGAGGACCCAAGGGTAGGGCGTGCTCACACCTACCTAGATCGGTGCCACCACCAATGTGTGGTCTCCAGCACCCAGAAGGTTCTCAACAAGGTTCCTGCCATCCTTCCCACCCCCCTCCTGGGTCCTCTCACTCATCCCCACAGCAGCAATTCCAACCCTTCTCCCCCGCCCCGAAACCTCTCGGGCCCCCCACTCTTGGCCTGGTCTGGCCTGAGACGTCCCAGGAAGATTTAAGGTGAGGTGAGGCTCCCTTCACTCCCTGCCTGCCACCAGCAGCCATCATGTCCTGCGTCCATGTGCCCGTCCCCCTGTCTCTCCTCCCATCCAGGCCAATCCCTCAGGCCTGGGCTCTGGGTCCCACACCCTCAACGGCGCTGCCATCTCTATTTCGTAAACCTTTCTACCGCCACCTCTCCGCCCACACAAACCTCCTCAGCTGTGTTCCATCTTTCATCAACGTCTTCCCTAGTTTTAGCTGCGGCCACCTTAGCCAACTCACAGCCAAGCTTCTTGAAAAAGTTACTTCTTCTCACTGTCTTCTTCTCCACCTCCCGACCACTCCCCAGCCCAGCAACCCTGCCCCCACGTCACTTAACACGAGGACTTTGTTTGGTCCAGCGGACACTCGTCAGCCTGCCTCTTCCCGGACCTCCACAGCATCTGCTCTCTTCGCCATTTCCCCGGTTCCACATGGTCCACACGTGCTCCCTCCCTGCCTCCCTGCCCCCCAGTCTCCTTCAGAGACTCTCTGACCACGGCTCCTTCCTCCAGAGCAGAGGGTCCCTCCACGCTCTTCCCGGGCGCTCACTCACCCACAGGACTTCCTTCGTTAGGCAAATGCTCACGACTCACAGACCTACATTTCTGATCTAGGTTTTCCTTCTCAACCAAAGACCTGAGTACCCAACTGCTCACGGGGCAGACATGGCTACCCCAAAATGCACCAAACTCAACAGAGACCCGTGGTCGGCCAACTGTGGCTCGCAAGCCACATGTGGCTCTTTGGCCCCTTGAGTGTGGCTCTTCCACAAAATACCATGGCCTGGGTGAGTCTATTTTGAAGAAGTGGTGTTAAAATAAGGTGACCAAAAGTGGGACGTCTGGTCACCTTATGTTAGAAGAAGTTTAAGTTTTAAAAAATTGACTCCAAAAGAAATTTCAGTCGTGTTGTTGCTATTTGGCTCTGTTGATTGAGTTTGCTGACCACTGGGTTAGACCCGAAGGCGCTCTCTTCCCTGCTCTTCTCCGGCATCCCCAGTGCAGAAGACATGCCCCCTCTAAGTTTCCCAACCAAAGCCTCAGCACCACCCCTGACTCTCACTGCCATGCCCGACAACCACCCGGACCTGTTGATCCTCCTACCCAGGCAGCTCTCAGATCTGTCCCCTTCTCTCCATTCCCTTTGGCGGGCCCCTCTCTGCCTCTGGTCCCCCTGCCTCCAGTCCTGCCTCCTTCCCTCCAAGCTGCTGGCTGATCCCATCATGGGGCTTCCCTGCTTAAAATTCCCAAAGACCTGGCAGTGCCCTGCCTGATGCAGCCCTGCCTACCTCTCCAGCCCACCCCTCAGCACGCTCCACCCCCGCCTTTCCCCTCACCCCCCTCTGCCCCTCACTCTCCGCTCCTGCTGGAAGGGACCAGCTGGCAGGGACACTGGAGGCCTGGGTCGGAGGGGCTTCCTCTGTGTGCCACGGGCAGACCTCAGCCGAAGCCCACATCCCACGGGCCTGCTCCTCTGAGAGGCCCTTCTAGCCCAGGGCCTGGCACTGGTGAGGCGATCTTTAAAGAGTTGTGGGTGAGATGCAGGACAGGGAATGTGGGGTTGAGACACGCCTGCTGGATTTGGTGAACACGTCCTGCTTCGTGGAGGATCGCTGAATCTCCTGCCCCAGTTGAGAAACACGCCAGCGTCTGCCCTCTCTGGGACTCCCTTCCGTCATTAGCCAGTTGCTTCAGCGACACACGTAGTAACGCCTTGTCTACGTGCGTGCTGGGTGTGGGTCCTGTCCCCTGGCCAGAATGGAAGCCTCCGAGGGCAAGGGCCCCGTCTTCCTTCGCTCTGGTCCACAGCTCCTCAACCCCGAAGACCGGAGGTCAGGAAGAAGGGGCGAGGGTGCAGCCCGATACATTCACATCCCAGCTCTGCCACTACGATCACGTGACCACGAACCAGTGAACGGCAGAGCCCCCGTTTCGTCCTTTGGAAACAGGAACATTGGTACCAACTCCCTGGGCTGCGGGGATCGGATGAGAGGATGCACGTCGAGCATTCAGCACCCGGCCTGGCGCGAGTGAGGACTCAGGACAGGAGTTGTTATTACTGTCATGTGATTGACAGCTCCCAGGCTCCGGTCTCTGCCTCTTGCTCTTCTGCCTGGTTCCCCCAATCCCCTCCCACTGCTCTTCCTATTCCCACTGCCACGGCTCAGAGGGAGCAATCAGACAATAAGGCCAGAGCTCACTGAGGGAGATCACTGGGCCCGGAAAGCTGTGAGGGGGGAGAGGAGTGCTAGGAGGCTGCCCTCCCAGGGGGCAGAAGATGAGTCACCGGAGGGAGAGAAAGGCTGACTCGTGTGGCAGAGCCTGGGCCCCGGGGCCTGGCCTGGCGCCATGGGCTGTTTACAGAGTGTCAGGACAGAGGAGTGCAGCTCAGGTGGAGGCCAGCTCTACGCCAGCATCCCTGCTCCCCTGTCCTGAGCCACAAGCGAGCAGGGGGCGGGGGGAGTGCGGGGGCAGCAGAGCGGGAAGTGTGGGAGCTCTGCAATCAGAAAAGCGAGGCTATGTGGCTTCAGAAGCAATAACTCCCGAACCTTATTTCCTCCTCTGTAAATGCGGATAACGATACTGTCCGCCTTGGTGGGTTTGGTGTAAGAATCAAATGAAAATATCTGTAAAGTACTTAGCACAGAACCTCACACTCTGAGAGAGAGAGAGAGAGAGAGAGAGAGAGAGAGAGAGAGAGAGAGAGAGAGAGAGAGAGAGCTGTTGTAGTCTTAAGGGCTTAGCATGCTGCAGGAGGTGAGATTACCAGGTCTCAGACCAGGAGGCAGATGGGGGTGGGGGGAGGGGCAGGTGAGTGGTGTTGAGGGTGAGGAGGGGGCAGGCAGGCTGCTGGTCTGGAGAGAAGGGCACAGCATGTGGCGGGATGCTCAGGTATCTCGAAGGCACTTGACGGCCCTGAGAAGCACAGGGCCCATGCCCATGCCCGCTTCCTATTTCTCCCCCCCCCCTCCCCACCGCCCCCCTCCACCCTGAGCCGGGGAGAGCATCTGTTTCTGCCTTGAGCTGTTGAGGAGGCCTTGGTACAGCTCACCACCTGGAGGCCGGGTACACAGGCCCACACTCAGGGGGTGGACTCTGCCTCAACTTCCGAGGCTGTCTGCCCCCTGCCACCACTCGCTGGGGGCACGGTGGCCTGCAGACCCTCCCGCGGAGGGCCTGGCGAAGGACCTGGGGACTCTGTTCCCTTCCTCGGGGCACCGAGGCTGCCTGGCAGTGCTGACGTGCCGGGAGCCATGCCAACCCGCTGCGTGTGCCGCCCGGGCGCCGTCCCCGGGGCCTCATTAGCGTCACCACACAGGGCCTCCCGGTTCCCCGAGACGCTTGCTCCTTCCTGGCCTGCAGACAGGCCCTCTCTCCGGCGCCCCCAGAGCCTCCTCCCCTGGGACCCCCAGCTTGATGGAGACATCCCTTCACGCCTCTGCTCCTCTGAGGAGCCCCGGAGGCCAGGAGTCCCCCTCTGGTCAGGTCAGCCTTTGGCTGGCCTGCATAAACCCGAGGTCCAGTCCGGGACTGCTCGTGGCGTGGTTGACCCAGCAGGCTCAGCTGAGCCCACGGCCCCACCTGCTCCCTTTCAGCCTTGGACAGCCCTAGCGTGCAAGCTTCTTGGCCAGGCGTTTGGAGCCTCCACCCCATAAGACATCCTGGATTCCCCCACCTGGAGCCTCTAGCCCTCTGACAGTCTAGTACCAGGCTCACACCTTCCCTCGTCTTCTCCTCTGCCCGCCACTTTTCCATGTGTTGCCTTGTGCTGCCCACTGCGCTCGCCAGCAGCCCCAGAATGGAGCTGGGCTCCCAGCAGGTGCTGAAGGAACCGCTAGTGAGAGAACTGTGCTGGGTAACTCCTTCTTTGCCCAGAGAGGAGGGTCAGAATCAGCTACACCGTCAAACCTCTTCTCTCAAGTTATCTGCCACACTCCAGGAGCTGAGTGGCTTGAAAGGAAGGGAGTCTGCCAAGCAGAGGGATTAAGAGCACACGCCTCAACCTGAAGTTTGGGTTTGAATCCCAGCTCGACCACGAACTAGCTGTGTGACCTTGGACGACTTACTCAACCTCTCTGAGCCTTAGTTTTCTGAGGCAATCGTACCCTGCAGATTCGAGGAATGAATTCAATACCATGCATCTGAGCACACAGAACAATGCTCATCCCTTATTAGGCACCCTATAATTAACAATTAAATTAGTAAGATTTAATAACAATAGTAAGAGTAGCAACATTATTATTAGTGTGAGCAAAGGGGTCCCACTCCTCCTTCTCTACAGAGCCAAGGTCTGAGTCTCTCCAGCATGGCCCCAGCCCCACCCCGCCCTCCTTGTGCGGGTAGAACCTGTGCCTAGCTCCTCCCCTTCTCCTGAACCTAAGCACCTCAGCAGGGCCTTCTGGCCTCACACATCCTGCGGGGCGGGACGAGGCCATGGGCTTGTGTTCTGTCAATGGCAGAGATTTCCCACTCTGTGCCACTGAGGGTTCCCTGGGAAGGGGCCTGGGGACCGGGGGTCTGGGGTATACTCACTAGGATGCCCAGTACCAGCCTGGGTTAGCCTGGATATAGTCCTTAACGGGGTCACTGCAGAGGGAGGGAGGGAAGAAGAACAAACATTTGTCTCTATTTCTGGTTCGACATCAGCACTGGCCCCCGACCCCCACCCCAGTTCACAGGACCTGAGAGGAAGAAAGGAGGCATGCAGCCCGGTGGCTCAGGAAGCCCAGCCACAGTCCCAGGCTGGGACTCGGAAGTGCTGGGTGTGGGCGAGAGGACCTGAGAGGGACCCCGAAAAGCACCAGCCTCCCCCCGCCCCCCAGGGAGGGCTCCTGGGCGTGCACTCTCTAAGGTTCTCTCCAGCGAGAGGAGGCCCACTGCCCCGCAGCATCAGTCCGGGTGCCCCCCCACCCCAGGCCTGGCCACGGCCAGCCCCCAACAGGTGCTGGTTTCCATGCCAACTCACCAGAAGGTAAAGAGAGCCACGACGCTCAAGGTCACCAGCAGCTGGACCAGCAGGATAGTGTAGACCTGGGGGTGGAGGCAGGGAGGCTCAGGTCCCCAGCGAAGCTCAGGGAGGCCGCAGAGTCCCTGTGACTCAATCTCCTCCCCAGACCCACATCCTGTGCCCCCTTCCCTCCCCCAACTCTCCCCGTCCTCCTTCTTGAGGGTCCTGGGAACAGATCCAGGACCCAGTGAAAAGAGTAAAGATGGTCCAGAACCCACACCCAGAGGCCAAGGGGCCTCTCATATCTGCAGAGAAGAGACGACATTTTAGGGGTGGCAGGGCCAGTGGGGGGATCTAAGGAAGTACTTCCCAACAGCTGGCATCACGAGGGAGGGACAGACTGTGGCCTCTGCCGCAGAGCTCCCCACCCCACCCCCGGTCCTTCCTGGAGGGCTGGGGAGCGGCAGTTACCTTTCTGATGAAGACTCGGCGAACTTGCTGGTCATCCCAGCTGAAGGTGGTGAAGAGCTCATGGTCTCCGGCGGGGAAACGGCCCTCGTAGCTCGAGCCGCTGTCTGGTGGGCAGGGGAGGGCCGTGAGGGCTCCCGCACCCATACACACCGGCCCAACAGCCACTGCTCAGAGCTGCCGTGTGTCCAACTGGCTCCCCGGACCAGCCGAAACCTTTCCCTCCAGCCCCACGCTCAGGCCTGGCACCCCTTCGTCAGATCTCTCTCCCTCACTGCTGCTCAGGCTTCTTGTTCTGAGTCCTGAGAATGAACTGCCATCTCCCTGCCCCTTCCCTCCACCTTGGCTGGGGCTCTCTCTCGAGATGAAGCTGTGCCATACAAATTCGACCCTCCCCTCTAGGTCTCCCCACTGCTCCCCTGGACATGCGGGCTTCCCTGTGGCAAAGAATCAGAGTCGGACAGACATAACCTCAGGACTATCTAGCACATCTCAGGGTCAAGGGTCCTGATCCCAGCTTGCTCTGAGGCCCTTGGGGTGGAAACTGGGACCTGTTGGATGGGTGAACCCGCTGGGAGCCAGGCCTGGGGGAATCCTGGAGGGGGCATAAAGCTAGGACGGGGCAAGAAGTGGGGTGTGGGTGGGAATGAAGTGGGGTGTGGGTGGGAATGAAGTGGGGTGTGGGTGGGAATGAAGTGTCGCAGGCTGGTCCCAGAACTCAGACTTTCCGAAGAGCGTGGACTCCCTTGTCAAACAGACCCACACGTGGCTCCTCCTCTAAGACTGTGTGACCTTGAGCAAATGACCATCCTTCCCAAGTCCCTTCCATGAAATGGGTCAGTGAAGGGATGAAACGAGATAAAAGTGATGGCCCATGGCTCTGGCATCACCAGAGGAAAGGGTATCTGCCTCAAGTCCTGAAGAACGGCATGAGTTATCCTAGCAAAGAGACAGGGAAATGAGTCCCTGATGGGGACGAGCCACCCTCTCCTTTGCACCCCTCGTCTGGGCCATTCCTGAGGCCTCACGTGCCCCCCGTGTTCCCCTTCACGGTCTCCATCAGTTCTCCATGTTATTCCCTCCAAGGTAACAGCCTCCATCTTGGTCTTTCAAAGGCGACCACAGCACTGCCTTGCTTCAAGCTCTTTGACAGCTCCCCACTGCTTTTTACTCAAGTTCAAGCTCCTTAACAAAGCCGCCCATGAGCCCCCAGCGCCCCCCACTGCATATTATTTATTCCCTCCTCCTTTTCTGCAGCCTGTTTTCTTCAGCCATGCGTTCTCTTGCTACTGGGCACATCCCATTCCTTCAGCCTGGAACACTCATTTCTCTGCCTCTTTACTGGGAAAACTCATGCTGTTCTTCGGGACTCAAGGCAGATACCCTTTCCTCCAGGAAGTCTTCTGTGATAGCCAGGCAGGCGAGGTGAGTGCCCAGGCCTCTATCACTGCGTCTGTTGAACTGTATGGTAGTTGTCCATCAACTCGTCTGAGCTCTGTGAGGGCAGGTCTTACAAATGGATGCATCCCCAGAAACGAGCTCAGTGCCAGACACAGTGCCTGGCACACACTTAGTAACTGCCTTCCTGTCCTGACAACTGCTTGGAAAATGTTCTTTAAGGCAGCCAGTCCTGGCCACCAGGAAACGGGCCAAGAGGAAGGGGAGAGAGGTGGGCCTATTGCAGGCCTGGGGCCTGGAGACCCTCCCTCTCTCATCCTTCACTTCCTCTTCATGTTCTTTCTGTCCGCACCCCCCCACCACCACCACCACCAAGGTGCCACTAGCCAGGCCCTGGAGGGGGAGAAAAGAAGAGAGAAAGCACCCTGTGGGTATCTGAGGCGGTGAGAAGGGCTCCCCAAACACCAGAGTTTCATTACCATCCCAGTTGGACACAAGCACGTAGCTCTGCTTGGATTTAGGACGAGGAGCTTTGTGAGGAGTGGTGTGGACCATGGTGACTACTCCTTGCGAGTAGAGTCTGTCTGAGGCATTGTCCCTGGGAACCCTTCTAGAATTCTGCTGGGGGTGGGGGAGGGGAACTGCCAGGATGGGGGAGGGGGGTTGAGCGGCTACTGAGGAGGCTGAGGGGGCTGAGGAAGATTTGAGAAGGGGCCTTTCCTTATAGCGTGTGGGAGCTATATGTTCCCAGCCCTGAGGCAAAGCTCCCACCGGCTGCTCCACTTAACAAAGGGGCTCCCACCAGCTACCATTCTGGCGCTGGGAGTCTGCCTATAATTATGCCTGGTTGTGAGGGGCACTGAGGCTGTCACCCACACACCCGCCCACATCATGCCCCCAACAAGGGCCTGGGGAAAGGGAGAGAGACGGGAGAGTCATGGGTGCAGTGGATCCTCAAGTCTCTGGCCCCCAACCCTCCTAGGCCCTCCTTGGTGATGTGTCCCCACTGAGGTCTCATATCAGCTAACAAGGAAACAGGCTGCACCCCCCTCCCAGGGAGCCACCCCGCTACGGCTGTGGCCAGCCGCAGCATCACAAGCTCCTCCCTGCACTGACTGTCCTCTCTTCACTCCTTTCCTGTATCCCTTGCTTCTAGGAGGGCCTCTCCAAGACCGGCCCCTGGTTTTCCTCCCTGCATCTGTCCCTCTGCCCCAGCATGGTGCGCTGAAAAAAATTCCCCACATCCCCACCCAACAGCACTCTGACTGCAGACACTGTACGTCTCCCTTTTCACGGAGTCCTCCTTGACCGTCCTTAGGACCGTCCTCCAAACACCAAACCTTTGACCGCAGACTCCCCTATAACAACCATTCAGTGCATCTCTTTCTGGGCCACTTCCTCCCACCCCAGTTCTCCATGTGAGTCCACCTCTCCCCGTGATGCCCCGGCCTTCGGGAGCTGAGACTTACTGGGGTCCACATAGGCCCAGCTGGGGTGCAGGGGCACCGCTGCAGGGGCTGTGGGGAAGGCCCCCGCCTTCAGCCCCTCGGCGGAGGTGGCCTCCTCATAGGAGGGCGGGGCCGAGGGCACTGCCGGAGCCTCCTTCTTCTCACCGTTCGCCTGCTGCTGGCCCTCGGTCCCGGGGGCCTTGTTAGCCACGGAGAGCTGTGGAGTGGAGGCAGAGAGAGATGGTTACCAGGGAAAGGGTGCCTTCCTCGCCCTCCTCACCAAGCCTCCCCTTCAATTTGGGGAGTTTCAGGGGTGCTTTGCCCCCTGCACGAGGAAGGGCGGGTGAAGACAAGAGCCTCCCTGTTTTTGTTGTATATGTCTGCAACGAAACACGACTCAGCCTTAAAAAGGCAGGAAGTCCTTCCCTATGTGACAACCTGGATGACAGTATGCTAAGCGAAATAAGCCACACAGAGAGGCAAAAACTGCATGCTCCCAGAGATATGTGGATGCTAACATGTCGAACTCATGGGAGCACAGAGTTGAACAGTGGCTGCCAGTGGCTGGGAGATGGGGGAAATGAGGAGATGCTGGTCAAGGGGTACGAAGTGTCAGTTAGCAGGATGAAGTTCGGGGATCTAATGTACAGCGTGGTGACTGTAGTTAACAATACTGTATGTTGGTCTTAAAATCTGCTGAGAGGGTAGATCTAAGTTCTTGCCACAAAAAAAGGAGCGATGTGGAGTGATGGATATGTTGAACAGCCTGATTTTGGTGATCATTTCACAGTGTTTATCAAAACATCAAGTTGTACACCTTAAATACGTACAATTTCTATTTGCCTCTTATACCCCAATAAGCGGGGCGGGGGGGGGGGGGGGTGTCTCCCTATTTTGTAGATGGGAGAACTGAGCTCCAGGAAGGTCAGGGCTGGCCAGGCACACCCTGGAGCTGGGATAAGAACTGAGAAAGGAGAACATTCTTAGGAGAGACCCTCCCTGAGGGAGTTTTCATTTTCATTTTGGTGGTCACTGTTCCCAGGCAGGGCTGGGTTTGTGTGGTTCCACTGTTTCGTGGGGCCTAATGAGAGGTCTAGAACACAGTAAACCCTTCAAAGTATCACTGAATGAATGGTTCTCTTATTTAATCTCCCTGCTACCTTGCTAGCTGCATGTTGACCTCTGTTTTAAAATGAGGGAACGGAGGATCAGGGAGAAGACTAACTCGCCCAAGGTCACAGCGCCACACGTGGCCCACTGGGCTGCCGAGCCCAGGCACCGTCCACCGGGACCGGCGGCTTCTGCTGGGCCGGAGACAACCAAGGGCAGTGAGGTGGGAAAGCCGGGACCAGAAGCGGGGAGGAGAGGGAGGAGAGAGGAAGAGGGATGGGGACTGCAGGGCAGAGGAAGGGCAAGAGGCCCTGGCTGAGGGCCCTGCTCTGGCCTTGTCCCGTTGGAATCTCAGCCCTGCCCCCGAGTCAGAACAGAATCACAGAATGTCCCTGCTGAAAGGGAGCTCAGAAGGCATCGAATCCAACCCCTTTCCATTTTACAGACGAGGAAACGGAGGCCCAGAGGAAAACGTGTCCATGGCAGGTTGAAACCTCAAAAGCATTTAACTCGGATGTGCCCCCTGCCCCACGATGTCCACATTTAGCTTTGGAGAGAGGATGGGGGCTGTGAGGGCCTGAACGCCGCCGCCAGAGAAGGGCCGATGGGGGTGGAGGGGTGCTATGAGAACTGGAACAGCAAAAAAGGACTGAACTCTAGATCTGCCTCCGAAAAGAATGTGTTAAACCTCAAGGTCCACTGAGGAAGGACGCAGAGTCCCTTCTTTGCAGGGTCCAGCTGCGGCAGCCCCAGCCGGGCAAGCACCAGATCTCTGTCCTCGTCCCGCCCTGAGGACCACCGAACCGTACGGGTCTATTCTGTCACGAGAAAGCCCGGGAGTAAGCTGGGGGTGAGCAGCAGAGGAGGCGGGGAATGCAGTCAGCCCAGAGCGGGAAGCAGGGTCAGCAGAGTACCTGGTGGCGGTGAGGGTGGGGAGTGGAGGGGGAGGGTGCGGGTCTGGAGAGGGAGGAGTTTTCATTGTCCCCACAGTGAACACCCCCAGGGGAAGTGCCTCCAAGCCTAGGCCTGTGGGGATGGGGTCCGGGCTCATCTGCTTCCCTCCCACTCCCCAGCCTCCATGGCCAGCCAGACAGGAGAGTCATGCGCAGGAAACCCTCTCAGCCCCAGAAGGAAGTCCTCTGAGCCCAGACCCTGGGCTTGTGCCTGGGGAAAGAACGACTTCAGCTCTGTCCAAGCTGGTCCCTTCACCAGCCCCCACCCTGGCACGCAATCACCGGGAGCCTCTGGGCCTTGCCCCCCATACACACACACACACACACACACACACACACACACACCACACACACACACACACACACACACACACCACACACACACACACACACCACACACACACACACACACACACACGCACACCCGCATTCCCGAGTGAGGTCTGCCCAATGGCAGGAGGTGGTATCACCCAATGACATCATTTGAGGCCTTATGAGCTTAAAAACAGGGAGAGGAGGGTCTGAGGAGCCAAGGGACGTTGCCATTGGCTCTGAGGCTCATCTCAGAAAGCAGAAGGGGAGCATAAGGGAGGTCGCGATCTGTTTTCTTAGCTCAACCCTCAGTACCCCCAGACAGAAGACCAGAGGACCCGCCCCCTGTGCCCAGGCCCTGGTAGCGGTACAATCCCACAGGCTGCTGATGTTATATAACCCTACCAGTCAGCCCAGTCTCTGCCCAAACCCTTCCCCTACCTTTTAGGCCTAGAACCGGAAAAAAAGAAGACGTTCCACCTGGTCTCATCTAGTCCCATGCCCTGCCAAAACCTAAACAAGAATTAGAGCATCCTGAGGCGGGGCTGCCATAGCGACCCTCTGATCACAGTTGATGTGTCCAGATGTGCAGTAAGGACAGGGGTTTGGGTGGGGGGTGTTTTTGGGGAGGGTGCGAAAGATGAGCTAATGTTAGGGTTGGGATTGGACCAGATGGGGATGCTGGATGGGAACTGCCCCTCAGGGCTCACCCTGGTGAACACACAGGCGCACGCACACGCACGCGCACACACACACACACACACACACACACACACACAGGCACACACGGACAGGATATCAGGCTGACTCCTTAAGGGGGGCTGGGCATCTGTGCAGGGTTCTGGGACGTCAGAGCAAGGGGTGGAAGGGGGACAGAGGGGGAGAAGTGAGCCTGGTGGGCAGGAAGAGGCCCCGACCCGTTCCTTAAAATGGGTCCTTTGGTCCCCCGACTTCAGCAAGGACCACAGAGGACCTTCCCGCAAGGGCCCGGGGAGGATGCTAAGAGTGGTCCAGGGAGCTGGCTCCGGATGGCAGGGAGCCGGAGGATGGGGATGGAGGATGGTGCAGGCGGGGAGATGCCGGTACCTTTCCCTGGGTCATGGTGCCGTCTCTCGGGGAAGGGGTCCCCGAAGCCTGCGTCTCTTCCTTCCTCCGCGTGGGTTCTAGCAGCCTCCGCCGCAGCCGTGCCAGGCGGACCGGAACGTACCACCGGGGCGGGGGGAGGGGGGCCGGGGCGGGCCGGAAGGCTGCGGAGGAGGCCGCTGCGGATTCGCGGGCCTGGGGAGGAGGCTGCGCCGCCTCTGCTCGACCCCTCTACCCCCTTCCCTCGCCCGGGGCCAGGGGGGCGCTGCGGGCGGAGCTGCCCAGTGGACGGGTCTGCGCTCTGCGGGCGGGGGAGGCGCGGGGCCTCCGTGACGCGGGGCAGGTGATGCTTCAGCCGCGGGTAACCGGAGCCGGGTGTCCGGGCCTCACTTCTCCACCGTCCCCGTCGCTGATAGGCTCTGCCCTCGCCTCTGCCCCGCTTCCCCTCCCTCTCTGGATGCAGCCCTGATTGCTGTCTCCATCTCCATTTCCCCTCTCATCATCATCTCCATGTCACCATCCCCTGCAGACTGGGAAAAGACTTCCTCGGCTTCTAACGGGGCCCCAAGTTCTTCTGCGCTTTGGGGCGAGCCAGGTGTGCCCCACTCCTTCCCTCCATCTTCTCACCTGTGCAATGGGAGCGAGAGGCCCCTTCCTGCCTGGTCACAGAAGCGGGCTGTGGGGAGATGCGGCCTCAGTTTTTATAGCCGGGCTGGGACATGTCACTACGTCTTTCTGGGGACACCTCTAATTCTGTCTCAAAGCTTCTCCAACCCTCTGTGCTGCTCCTTCTCTGCTTCCACTCTCAGCACCCTTCTTTCTTCTCCACCCCCTCCTTCTGCCCCCCATTCCATAGCCAGCCCCGTCCCCTTTCCCAGCTTGTCCTTGGGACTTGGCCGCCACCAGGCCCTGCTGTCCGCAGCTGCTGCAGGGTTACCGTGTGGCTTGCAATCTCAAGAGCTGGGCTCAAGTCCCAGTTTAGACACCCACTAGCCGTGTGACTTTGGCAAGGCCTGAACCCCTGAGCTGCACCATCTCCGATGGAAAGGAGGACAACAGACCCATTTCATCCTAGATTAATTGTAAGACACACAGTTTATAGTGTGTGTGTGGGAGGGGGGTTGGGGGAGCACAGGGTTTATGCCTCCTACCACAGGGTCCTGGGCTGCCCCAGTGTGAGGACTGGGAGAGCTGCCTAAAAGAAGGGTCTGAACCTCACAGGATGGGCTGAGCAGCCAGGGCCTGGTGCACATGGGGGTGGCCCCTTACCTTCCACTTCCCTGTCAACAACCAGCCAGACCACCTCTGACCTGTGAGAGAGCAGGGCCCTGGGTAGGCAGGTAGATTATTGAAGACTTTATTCCACCTCTTCTTGCCCTTTGTCCCCCACTCCATTCTGGAGGCTTCCATTCTGAGCCTTCCATTCTGGAGGCTTTCTAAGCCCCTACAAACCCGTCCCCTCCCTGCCCCTCTCTCCTTCTCCAGCTCTGTGCCTGGAGCTCTTCTCCCCAAAAACTGGCCCTGCACCTCCACCTCCACCCCCTGCACTGTCCCTGAGCGCTGCCCACCCCTCCCTCTCCGCCCCTGTTTGGAGTGCTTTCCTTCTCCGGTTTGACAGCTCAAGGCCACCTCCTCCGGGAAGCCTCCCTGGCCCCCAGTCTGGATTAGATGCTTTCCCCCCCTATAGTTCCACCCTGACATAACACCTGCCACATAGCACTGTGGGGTTCTTTATCTGTCTCCCCATTAGACTCTCTAGCCGGTTTTGTGTCAGCAGTACTGAGTATAAGGCATGTGGGACACACTCAGCACATCCTGGCTCTCACCATTACCCAGCATGTGGAATCACACAGAGCCTGCCTATCTGTAGGCCTCAGCATTTTCACGTGTCTGTACATCTCACCTGCTCCTTCTCTCCCCATCCGTTCTGCTCCTGCCACACCGCCCTCTTGACTGCTCCCTGCCTGGGCCACACATGCTATGCGTTCAGGGCCTCCACACTTGCTGTGTCCTCGGCTGGCATGCCTCTGCCCAGACATCACCTTGCTGGGAAGGGCTTCCTGATCCCATGCAGGTAGCAATGACCCCAGCATACCCCCACCAGCTCATCGGACAGTCCCTTTTTCCCAACCCAGCTCAATTTTCTTCCATGGCAGTTGTCACCTTTGCTTAGTGCGCCTCCCGACGCCCCCACTCCCCAACCTTTCACTAGCGTATCAGCTACATGACAGGAGGAGTTTTGGGGGGAAGTTGCCATTGCTCAGCACCCACCAGTGAAAATAGTATTAGATGCTTGATAAATGTTGGAATGACTAAAATGCAGCATGATACAAAATCCTTTTATTCCCCAGACATTCTGACACAGTCAGCTATGCTGTGTCTCAGCACTGGACTCCATTACCATGGCATCCCTGATATGTCCCCATCGCGTGGTCTTGGACATTACCCACATATTGTAACGTTTGTCTAGCATTCCTCTGGCCGCAGGAGGTGGCGAGATATGATGGTCCAAGGCGAGCTTGGTTGCGGTCCCAGCCTCCGCTTCAGAGCTCTGTGACTCTGCACAGGTTAGATCCCCTCTCAGAGCCTCGGCTTCCTCCTTTGTAAAACGAGGGAGAGGGATGGTACTGACCGAGATTGTAGAGTGGGTTAAACGATGACGTACGTAAGGCGTTTCATGTAGCGCCCAGTGTTAGTATTGGCCCTAAGAGTTCCCCGAATGTTGTTTAGTGAGATAATTCATTCCCACCCTCATCAGCAGCTCAGTGTCACTGTTACTCACTCATCACGGGCGCTGTGCCTACCTCGGTGTGACACGCTGTGGTAGACACGTTGGTGAGTCAAAGAGGGATCAGATGTGACAGCCTCTGTCTGAGGAGGGACGGCCCATTCAGAGCTCACCCCATGCTGTGCTGGCGGGAGAGCAGGTGACCAGGGATGGCTAGAGGAAGGGGTGCACAGGAGCAAGGGTAAGGGGTGACCCAGGGGAACTTGTTGGGGTCTCACCCTTGAATTCCTGGCCCAGGGATGAGCTCTATTCTGTTTGCACAAGGTGGGACAATGGGGAATTTCTAGGTGTTTTGAGCAGGAATCATGTGTTCAAAGACATGCTTCAGAAAGACTCAGCTGCTGTAGTGATTTTGGCCAATAAAGTGTTTCCTGAAGCAAGGAGGGAGTAAGGGCCAGCCTGTGAGCAGCGTGCGGGAGGGACTGAGCAGGGGCACGATTAAAGGTGCAGGGACGAGCATGGAGACTTGGTGACGGTACAAGAGACGAAGGCTCGCAGCCTAGACTGAGGCCACCTGGGCTGTCATCCCGGCCCTCCCGATGCTTCACTGCTCCGTGCCTCAGTTTCCTTCCTGTAACACGATGGTGGTGCATTCATGTTGGTAAAGCACTTAGAGCAGAGCCAGACACACCAAGTGTCCCATGTGCATTTGGTAGTCTAAAAGTAAGACTGATGATCCAGGGCAGGAAAGATGGAGAGAGGCAGGCAGCTTGGGGCAGGACCGATGAGACTTAGAAAGAGGCTGGACATGGGATGAAGGGAGAAGAGGCATCAGAAGGGATGGAGATTTGGAGGCCGAGTCCCTGGGAAAACGGTGTCGTTATTAAAAGGGAGGAAGGAGCTGACATGGTCAGGGCTCGGGTTGAATTTGCGGTGCCTTTGGGACAACCAAGTGGAGATGTCCTATGGGCAATCAGGCAGAGGCTTCCGAAGTCTGGGGCCTTCCCTTTGGTTTAGGGGAGTTTCACTTCCTTTCCCACCCAGCAGCCCAACGCTGGGCTTCATGGAGTTGAGTAGTGTGGCTACCGGGGACCGGCCTGGATGGGGGGGTGTGGGGCTCCTTGGAGAGTGGGGCCAAGGAGAGAAGAGTGGAGAGAGTAGACTCAAGGCAGCACCTGAGGTTGGAGGAGACAGACGGAAGTTCTCTCCTCCTCCAGAATTTCCCTTCAACACCTCCACTAGGCTGTGGTGAGAGTTGGAGGGATTCGAAGACCTGCCAGTGTTTGCAGGGCTGTTGCTGGGGGGCGGGGGAGTTGTGGGCCCAGCCATTTCCGCTCTCTTCCTTTCAGGCCCACACTGTGGTGGCCCATCCCGTTCCACCGTTCTGCTCCGGTTGCCAGCCAGCTCGGTGTGGGGCAAGAGCCAGGGAGAGGAGGGAGCTGAAGGTGCGGACAGAGGCAGCACTTCTCATTTTATAAAAGCCATAGAAGCCAGAAGCCAAAGATGGTGACTTTTTTCCCAAAGTTACATGACATTTTGGGGGCCAAGCCAAGGTGAGAAAGTCCATCAGCCCAAGGATGGGTCAGTGACACTTAGACTGAGCGTGAGGGGTGAATTGGGAGGTTTTCAGGGCCCTAAGTGGGCAGAATCAGAGCTATCCAGGCACCTCTCCCCAGATCCTCACCCCAACCACGGACCTGTACACCCAGCCTGCACCAGCCTCTGCTCCATCCGCTGGCCCTGCGTCTCTCCAGGGTAAAGAGAGAACCTGCCCACTTGAGGCCAGTGATGGGGTGGGGCAGAGGCAGGCGCTAGGGCCCAGGTTGCTCGCAGCAGGCAAGTTTCTTCCCGAGGCAGTGAGCCAGCGGAGCCCAGGCACCCTGGTGCATGCTGCGTGCAACCTGTGCCTTAGCGTAGCTGTCTCCACAAGTCCCAGGTCCCTGGCCCCCTGTGACTCTGCTTTCCTACCTCCCCCTCCTCCTAGTGGCCCTACAGCAAAGAACCGGACATCCTGTGCTGGCCAGCCAAAGCCTGGTTACACAACCCCTCTACTCAAGGCGCCCAGTCCTGCCTCCAGCCACCCCGCACCCCCCCACCCCTCACGCCATGACGCTGCCTGCCCAGATACAGTCTCCAAGGCACAGGGACAGAAGCCTTTGGCAAGCATCAACACCCCTCTTCTCCGCTGCAGGATTGCTTAAGGTGTGGAACCCCATTCCTGCCCCTCCTCTCCCCACTCTTCTCCACTCCAGCCCACCATTGCTGGGCTCCTGCTAGAAGATGGGGCAGGGAGCAGAGTGTAGAGTCAATATCCCCACCTCCTCCTCTGGCCTCGCCGTAGCCCGGCGCCCTTCAGAAGTCACTTCCCTCCCCTGGGCCTGGTGCTGGCCTGCCCTCCCTGGTTCCTGAAACAGTCACAGGCTCCGCTCCCATCACAGGCTGTGCCCTTCTGCTCCCCCACCGGGTGGAAGCTCCTCAAAGAGAGGACCGT